TATATATATAACATGGACGCGTACGACTTTAACAAACTAAAAAACATTATAAATATTATAAATAGTAAGTATTTGAAATAGTTAACCAAATTCAATGTAAAAATTTTTCTCGGTTTTTATAGCATAATAATAGTATTATTTTGCTGCCAAACATATTCGATATTTTACTACGTTAAAAATTTGTAAAGCTATCTAAAATCACCAAATTGAAAACAAATAGCATAAATTTTAATTTTTAATGTTACTGAGATGCGTGTCCCACTCTAACCTTAACAACATTATTTAATGATTCATCTCCTCAATCATTTTATATTGAGTATGAAATAAAATAAATTTCTGAAACACAGCATGGTTATTAATATGTAATATTTGTAAATCTTTGCACCACAATCTGTAACAGGAACAAAACAATATGAATTCCCTTCATGCAAAATCTAGCTATTTTAACACGGAAATGGTTAAAAGAAAGGTCATTTAATCATTATTATGAGAGTTGCTATCAGCACTTGCAGGTGTTGATGCGAAAATGGCAGCGTCCGTTCCCATTGAACGAACAAAAACATACGATAGCGCCATTTTCTTAACGAAGTTCCTGGAAATTCTTAGATTTTTCGTTTTTTCTCTCTCCCATAAACTAACTTTTCTAATCACGTTAAAAGGAGAAAACCTTATGCACGTGAGTTGCGAAATCTCATTAAGTATGCTTCGTCACACTTGAAGAATCTTAGAACTAAACATAAGATTCGATGGTAAAAAAGAACATCCTCAATAGTTTCTAAGAAAAGCAAATAAACTGAAGCGAAGTAAGTACGAATTAAAATGCCTCACTTAAAAGCCTGGGCGTGTTAATTGAAGTTCTGTCATCCACTTCTGCTTCTACAACATTTCTTAAAGTTTTGAATGAAGAAAAGTTTCGAAGCTTGAGAGCTATCATTTTACAGCGTTAAGTTAAGAACATGCCATTTAAGTGCATTGATTAAATCGAAAATAATTCTTTTTACTTAAAATTAGAAGAAATTCTAGGCGAAACTTTCTGCGCACATGCTACGTGTGAGAAACTACCAAAGTTGGGTTCTGTTCGTAAAATTCAAACAACGTCTTTAACTAAACTATTTCTTTTTCGTAAAAATATGTTTTAATATAAATCGATTAAAAAAATGTTCACACATTTTTATGAATTATTTTTTTTTAAACTAGATGATGTAAAGTTATTCAAATAACTTGAATATTTTAAGTATGAAGTTATAAGAAAACAAGAAACTCCAACTGTTTTCAAAATATGGGACAATTTGAAAACTCAATTATTGGTAATGAATTTATTTTACATTCTGCTTGTATAACTAGTTGTTTTATTTCAAACACTTTTTAAAATCGGTTATGAAGTTCGTCGGAAGATGGCGTTGAGAAATTTATGAAAGGGGCCGAAATGTATGTCGCTCTCTTTTACATAAAATTCAAGCAGGTAAATGTTTAAAAAGTTTTTATTTTTATCAGCAATCTAGTGGGCAAAATTTTAATGGCAGATGGAAAAAAAACTTTTGCCTCTTAGAGCATGTTGTACCAATCGGATTGAAACAAAACCTCCAACTTTAATTCAAATACTTCTCAGGGTTTGATCTTCTAATTCGATACGATTTGGAATTATCAAAATTATAAGATTTAAATTTAGAAAACTGTCTTTGTTTATTTAAATCTTCTAATGCTCCTACTGGTAGCAATTACTGCGCAAGACTCAAAAAGCTTACAATGTCGAATATATACCTCTTCTGGCATGTAGGAGATGTTTCAATAAAATGCAAAACAAAAACTTAAGATTTATTTATTTTTGCGTAGATAAGTCATTCTTAATTTAAAAAAGTCTTTGACTTGAATTAAGTACATAATAAGCTTATGAATGACAAATATCAAAATGCGCTGAAACTACATTACTTTCCGGTATCCCCTAATATAGAACAGAGCTTTTAAAAAAGCATGAAACAACATGCCGAAGTCTGAGAGCAAATTTAGCAGACATCCGTGCATTTAGCAGACAATATTTCAGTTCGAATGATTAAAATGTTCGAATCACTAGTATTAGAAAACATTGTTTTACAACTTTCCTATCCAACAAAGTAATCTGTTGCCGAATTTCGCGATTTTCTTTAAAACTTCAAGAGAATAATTATGTAGTTTCCTAAAGGCAACAAATCTTCTTTCTTTCTCCGTTTTTCTTTAATTGATTTTTCAAATCTTCTGTCACTTTTGGGAAGTGTCCGGAGAGTGTATACAATAAACAATGCATTTTATCACACTTTATGGCTAAAATTTCAGTAAAGTTTTAATTCATGATTTTGATAATACAGATTTCCTGAGATTTTTTTAAATACTAAATGATTATAACATTGCCGTGCAGTTTTGATTAAAAAAAAGAAAAAAAAGAAATAGGAATATTTTTGTGCTCAAATAATATAAAATAATAATGGCGTTAAAAATACAAACGAACGTCTCAGTAACTGTTTGTCTTTTTTCACTTCGTCTTTTACTTTTTTTTCTCATTTGTCTGTCTTTTATTTTTGTCCTTACGGAATAATGAAGAGAAAAAATCTACGTCTCTACACTATTAGTAATATCTATTTATAGTACCTTGCCTTCCTGACCTGTACGGACATTGTCTCTACGTTATTTTGGCTTAATTCTCTTCGAATTTTAAACTTTAAAGAATGTCATTTTCTTCTTTCAGAAGAAGATGAACACTGCAACCGAACAGTCGACATTTACCAATCCGTTTCCAGCCCACCTGTCACCGATGAAAACCGCAACAAACCCCTACACTGTACGTACCGAATCCGTGTACGTCCGGCCAGAAACGATTGGGTCGTCTTCGTGCGATTCATCAGAATGAGGGTTGGTGAGCCAAGTGAAGATCGACATCGCTGTCTAGGAGGTTACATCCAAATCATCGACGGTTACAGGGATTCGAATCATACCAACAAAGAAGAACCCGGATATTATTGTGGAGAAATTGATTCACCAAAAACTTTTGTGTCTGAAACACCTCATGTGAAAATTGTCCTACATGTAGACAGCTATGGCCATGACACATTTTTACAGTTCGATGCAAATGTGGAGCAGCAACAAGAGGTACATTTAATGGATTAAAAACAATTAGTATTAGCATAATCAATGTTTTTAATTTCCGTAAATTATTTCGACGAATGTAAAAGATATTGTTGTAATTTCAGAACACTTTGAATACGAGTACTGTATCAAGTTGAATCTTGTTACATAGGGTGATTAAACTATCTTATTTACTTATCAAACATAATTTTGAATATCTATTTACTCATCTGACGTTTCCATCTAGACAAGTAAGTGCATAGATGTCGAAGGATATAAATCAAAAGCTTTTATTTTTGTAAATAAGACTCTTCTTTTAAACTATTCTATTGACTTAATTTTGTTTTATTGACTTTAAGAAATTAGCACAAGAAATAACTTGTCTAGAGTGCAACGTTGGGCAAGTAAATAGGTTGAAGTTAAAAAAGAGAAAAATTAAATTTTAAAAAATATGCTTTTTTATACAGGAAGAATTAATAAACTTTAAACAATCAGTTCAATTAAGTTGGATTGGTTTTGTTCAATTTAGAGAAATAAAATGCGTTAAGAACAACGCCTAATTCTACTAAGAAGCAATGTTTAAGTTTCACTTCCGAAATAGAAGCCATTTTAACTATAACACTGGGAAAATATTCTTTGTCGTAACTATACAAAAACTTGATCTTGTAAAATTCGGGTTTGGGAATTTTAAAACTAAAATTAGTTGTGACCCAAAGTTACAGGGTTTCTTTTAAAGCGGCATCTTTAATCTATTTTTTGTAGAAATATACAAGTCTAAAAACGTTATAATATATAACAGGGATACGGGTAAATGTTGTGTCATACCTCTAGAAGAAAAAGAATACATCATCAGGATTAGAAAAAAAAATTGCATAAGAACCAACGCCTTTAAATATCGTCATACGGGGATAGGGGCGCCTTTCTATTAGGACCCGTTGAGAATCATACGAAAAGAAAAAGTTCAAAATGGAAAATTAGCTTTGTTTCTGAAGCTACAGACTTTTTTAAGTGACATTTTCAATCTATTTTGTAGAAATAATCTAGCTTAAAAATGTTATATACATCAAGAAGTCACGTAAATGTTGCGACAAGATTCTAAGGTATTAAACTTGTCTAAGAAACGAGGCCCAAAAATGTCGTTGGACTTGGTTAGAGGCGCTTCCTTATTATGTCTTGTTCAAAACCACACGAAGAAACAGTTCATAATAGGAAAGTGTCTTCAGCAGTATATGACAACATTTCCGGGCACGGATATTTGTGCACTTTTAATCCTGTTAATGTACCCTAACTATCCAAAGAAGTTTGTCGCAACATTTATGCGAACCTCTGTTATGTGCAACACTTTTAAACTTGCACATTTCCACAAAAAATATGACTAAATAATTCTTTGTGTGAGGCTAAAATCAAATTTTTCTTTTGTTTAAATAGTTATAATTACACTCTTGAGAGTTTAAAATATCAACTTTAATTCATTCTTATTTATACCATCCTCTTTTTAGGTTCATGCTCGTTATGGTCAATATGCGCAGCTATACCCACACAGACGTGGAACTCCAGTTCCCGGAACATACTGCGATAGATCTTTCCACGGTTGCGCCCCGACACGCTGCTTTGTGCAATCTCCAGGATTTCCGGGCATATATCCAAGGTATTTTTCATTAAAAAAATTCTTTTCGCACAACAAGATCTTCCGTAAATATCACCTTTCATATATATTTTTGAAATCCTCATAAAGAATTGAAGACCATAAAGTTTGCACATTGGAGGTAACTAATATTAGATGGACGGACCGGAAAGTAATGTCGTTTTGGTGCATTTGATATTAGTTATCAAGATTTTATTTTTAATAAATAATGTATCCACCCTCGTTAGCAATAACCTCTCAATTCCAGATAGAAAATGAATCGCAATGGATTGAGAAAAAAATGAATTGGTTTTTAAGACTAACGAATATTTAATGCGCCAAAACGACATTACTTTCTGGTCCACCTAATATTTAAGCAAGGAAAAAGAAAAATTCTTCAAACTCTGACAAATCACAGTTGAGAATGGTGGCTGTAATAAACGGTAAATCCTGATTGCGGGAAAAGCAGAGAGGAGTTGCAAGATGATTAATAGAAACACCTTTAATCTTCTTCGTGCAATTAAGCCTAGTTTGGTGTTTATTACAAACCGTTTGGGAGTTAGAAACATCAAAAATCTGATTGATTGCTGAAGGAAAAAGAGAAAAGTTGAAAGATGATTATTATAAACTTATGTTTTTCTTGGCAATCAAACCTGTTTTTGTTATATAACACCCACCTTCCTCAACTATGAATCTTCTGAGCTCGTTTGTGTGTTTTTCCCTCTATTAAGTATCAACCATAATAGTCATTGTTATCTTAATTTTTGATAAGAATATTAAAACTTCATATGAAGACCGGTTTTTACGAAACACCCTATATGTCTCAAAATGTAGAATACAAAATATTCTCAAATATTTAAAAGTATTTTCGTAAGTTCTTAATTTAGTTCATACTTTTAATTGCGTGAGGAATGGAATTAAGTTATTCAGAGCAGTAGTAATTCGAAGAAAGTAAAATAAAATGGTATGAGGACACTCACACATTAACAATGATTATTGGATCCAAGCACTATTATTAATAACTTGAATTTCAAATAAAATCTTCTTGTTTACTTTACTATACTCGTTTATTTTACTGTACTCGTTTACTTTTTCTATACTCATTTACTTTACTAAATACTATAATGACTGTACTATAACATGGTACATGCGATGTCGATTCATTAGATTTACTGTGTGTACACATTTAAAATTTAAGAATGGGATTATCCACAGGTTAAAGTACAGAATTTAATCACGACATTATAAAATTAGTAAAATGCACATCATTCCTTCAAAATTGTCAAAGATGATTTCCAGAGATGTCTCACAATTTCGAATTTACGTTTAGAAATTCGTTTGTAAGCTTTTCATAAATTTCTAAAGGCTCTGAAGAATATTTCCATAATATAATCTCAAAATGTCCGGAAAAGTTTAAAGCATTTTAAATGTTTTAATTTAGTTGTAAATGCGATGTTATTTAGTTGCAGATTTCATTTTAGTTGAAAATGGTATGTTTCTGTACATAAATCATCCAAATCTAATCAGAAAAGAATATCTACGAGTTAAAATAATTTATAAATTTATCTTAATCTACGAGTTAAAATAATTTTTAAAACTAGTTTATGGTGCCACATAACAGAAATATTTATAAATAGATAACTTGTACATTTATTAAGTGACATTAAGAAATAAATAGATATCTTGAAACAAAAAAGTAATGAAATAACAAGAAATGTAAATAGAAGTTCTTGATTTTTTGTTTGTTTTTTTTCTTTTAAGCAGAGTTAAAACATAAATTAAAAGTTTACCAATAGAATATAAAGTCTTCATAATGTTAAAATATTGTCATGTTATAACACAACATTAGAATATTTATTATATTGAAATTTCAAGAATTTATGAAAGGAATTTAAATATTAACCTAAAAGCTCAAGTCATTGAAAGCCTTGTTGTAATAACACAGGCCAATCAATGACGAAGGCCATTGGATTTTATTTAAGATCCTTTCACACAAACTAACCTTTTATATTATACTAGTATGCTGCGCTCCCTACTCACTAACGCTCGTTAACCCCCAAAAATTGCTACGCAATCTTATATGGATGCACAAAATTCAAGTGCACAAAATTCTAAGAATTCAAAACTATCCTTCAAATCCATATAACAACTGTGAATTCAAATAAATGTCATTCGTTAGACCTATTAGAAATAATGTAATTAATGTAATTCGTTAGACCTATTAGAAATGTGCTGTAGTATAAAATCTTAAAGCGTAACAGCACGACTGAGACTCATTTTTCTATGAATAACTAATAACAATAATAAAACAAATAAATTCGTGATATAAATCAAAAATTGTCAAATAAATTCGTGAAAAAAAGCGCTTTCAACAAAATACTAAAATAGAGCTCTATCGACAAAGACTACTCACTTCTGCCTAGCTTANAAAAATAATTAAATAAATAACAACAATTTTGCAAAAACATTAATGAACATAAGAATATTATTCAATAAAATTTTAGGTTGCTTTGAATTTCCGATTTCCTAGAAATGTACTTTTAAATCGTTACTTTTTTTGTTTAGTACTTGTAATTTTACTTGTACTTTTTACTCGTTACTTTTTACTTTTTACTCGTAACTTTTTACTCGTTACTTTTTTTAAAAATACTTGCCCCTTTACCCGTTACTTTTTAAAAGTAACGTTGCCATGTATGGTTGTAAATGCAATGTTATTTAGTTGCAGATTTCATTTTAGTTAAAAATTGTATGTTTCTGTACATAGATCATCCAAATCTAATCAGAAAAGAATATCTATGAGTTAAAATAACTTTTAAATTTATTTTAATCTACGAGTTAAAATAATTCTTAAAATTGCCGTTAATATAATTTGTCTGTAGTTAATATGCGCTACTGTAACTGTGAGTTGTTTTGGTTTTATAATAAATAAAATACTGAGACACTCATTTTTCGGAAAGCCATGAACTCAACTTAGTCAAATTGAACAAAACTTAACAACGATTTTTTTTAATTGTTCAATATTAATATTGAATGAATACCTGTTCTCCGTACAAAGTGAAAAAAATTTAACTATCAATAAATCAATTCTGAACAACACTACGAAATCATGCACAAAATTGGAAGACATATACCAACACAATGGGATACCTGCAAGTGACGTCGAGTGGGTATCTCGATTCTGATTGGTTGTTGAAACGTTACATTTGTTTACGTATAACAACTGTTATTTCCATTATACTTCAAGTAAGACAAGCCCATCAAGTATCATTTCTCTTAAGTGACGCTTTCTATATTCTTTCGCAAAGATTTCAATTTTTTTCACTTTATATTTCTTACTTCTTGGGGGGGGGGGCTAATATTTAACCAATAACATTCATTAAACCAATATCATAACAAACTGATTAACTGATATTTTATGCTTATCACTAAATTAATTAGTTTTTAAATTAAAAAAATTAATGAATTTATAAATTAAAAAAAATATATAAATTCATAAATTTAAAAAATTATTAAATTTATAAATTAAAAGAATTATGAATTTATAATTTAAAATAATTAATAAATTCATGAATTACAAAAATAATTAAATTAAAATTTAATAAATTTTAATTATAAATATAAATATAAATTTAATTATAAATATAAATATAAATTATAAATATTCAACGTGAAAAATATTTATAATATATAATATAGAAATAACAAAAACTATTCAAGCGCACCATGAAATATGATTCAATAGAGGATACGACACCAACCAACAACCAACCAATTATAAATATAATATACTTTAATGATAAATTTGAATTATAAATATAATTTTAATTTTAATTATGAAATTTACTAAAATTTAATAAATTTTACATGCTACTAAATTAATGATTAAGCTTTTGGTAAATAGTTACTAAACTTACTAAACTACTAAACTTAGAAATAAAGCTGTGGGACATTTTTTTTTCAATTATTTTAAATTTTCGAGAATAACTATTTCTTTAAGAATTATTCAATTTCAGCTTCAATGTAAACTCCCAACAGAACAGCTACAATAAAACTTTAGTTTTCCTATTATTTTAACTATAAATTCAAATAACAACGAAAAACTTTTTAATGATCTCATTATTTTTCTGAAATTCTAAAACTGATATAAAGCATTGGTTTTTCAAAAAAAGACATTGATTTAACGTCACCAGTCTGTCTTCTCAGACGATGCATGCACCTCAAAATAATAATGATAAAATTTATAATCATTCGCTGAAGTGAAATTCATAATAGTGCCTCTCTGGAGAAAGTTTAAAGACTTGGAAATGAAATTAAGCTAAAACTTTCAAAAGTTTTATAATTATACGGCATATTTGATATTCAAACGTTAATTCAATGAATTCCGCAACTATTCAGATTTTTGTAATTTGATCTTAATAATCCCTTTACTTCTCTTATAATTAAAAAAAATGCAAACTTTCAAACTAATAAATATAGTTGAAATATAGTTTGTTTTATTTAAAAAAAATAATTGCATTGTATTGAATAATTTCAGAAACAACGCAGTAGTACTTCTCATAATTAAACCCTTCATAACTATTAATACGATCATCTCGAGATTGGCTTCATTCTATTCAACTTCATCGGAAACAAACATATGTTTAAATAGAAGTATGTTAGTTTCCTCCCATATTTTCCACTTTTTATCCTCTAAACCAGTGGTTTCTAACTGGCGGCCCGGGGGCCGCATCCGGCCCGCGAAGTTTTTTTTGTGGCCCGCGAATTAAAGTATATTATTTGCCATTTTTTTCGGGTCGATTTTCGCAAAAAATCTATATGGGTTTAAAATACTTTTCTCGTTAATAAAAACCTAATTTCTTCGTTTCTGTGAAATTTATCATACCAACGGTGCAAAAAAAATTATTTCTCAGGTTTTGCATTCAAGAAAATATTTATTCAAATACAAAAATAATCGTGTATGTTGCTCTTTTTTATTTCATTTTTTTCGTATTTTGTGAATATAATTTAGCATGCGTGTATCAGAA